TGATCTTTTTTATGTTTTATTATTTCTAAGGATTCACGAATATTACCTATTATACTTTTTGGTTGAGCTAATATTACAGTTTTTTCTCACAATATTGTGTGTTGTGTTTCCTGTACATGTTCTACTATGGATGAATTTTCAGTTTTTTTATTTTTTTACATATCCCTTATGCTCATTTAAATGGTATTTTAAATTACGTTTTGTCTGGCCAATATAAATACTTTCACATTCTATTTAGATATTCCAGTTTTTTCAGTTAACTGTATTTCGTCTTATGTAGTACCAAACATTTCATTCATCTTATTTATTGGTTTAAATATAGGGTAGAATATCTGTTGTTTTTTAAACACTTTAAATAAACTAGTAGTTAAACCTCGGACATATGGTAAAATTAAGCCTTTTTAATTTTTTCATAACTAGGTTGTAAAGTACTAATTTGATCAATTATTATAGCATTAGTGAATTTCTTAACTGCCCTATCTATAATATTTGGGTTAAAACCTCTTTTGACTGCTATATATTTAATTAATAACAATTCGTTTTTAAATCCTTTTGGTTAGTACATATCTTCAACCCTCTATTAACATAACTATAAAATGCAGACAATGAAAGCCATAGATAGGCCTAAATAAATTGTTTTTAATTGTGTACCAATTTTAACGTTGAATATTATTTATGATGTTTATAATATATTGAAAACTTTCTTTTTAGCTTACAAGGAAGTTAACAACAGTGCTGGATTTTGATTTTAATTTTTGACTATGATCATATCAGGGGTAAAATGCTGCCAATATTCACTGGTACTGAGTACCGGAACTTATTTTTTAAGGCAGTACTAGTACTGGGACTTATTTAAGCTACTTTTTTGGATGTGCCTGCATTCCATTGTTCCATCAGAAAACATTTATTAATTGACACTCAAATTGTCATTTTTTATGTTTACAGATAGATTAAGAAACAAAAAAACAGGTCCACTTCACCCAGCTGAGTACCTCTACTTTTTTTTTTTTTGAGAATTTCACCCCTGGGTCATATTGAACAGTTTTCACTTTGTTCTAATAAAAACATGGTATGAAAACTTCACAAAATGTTTTTGTGAAATATTTTCATGAAAATTAAGAAATAACTTGCATTCTCAATTATGTGAAACACTTTTTTATAGTTTATCATGTTTTTAGTGTTTTTGTTATAACCTTTAGGCTATCATTAAGGTGATTTGATTCTGCCCTTCAAGAAAAATCTCGAAGGTGTTAAGCATATTATGATAAACCTGATTTCATTTCCACAGACAGTGTGATATACAAGACTATAGTACATTTTATGCATTCAAGGTTATTTTCCTCATTGCTAGTTCAAAGAAATCAACTGGGCTAATACAATCTTGTCTGATCCAGAAAAAAGAGAAATATATGATTCATATGGATCTGTAGGCCTATACATTGCTGATCATTTTGGAACTGAAAATGTGAAAATGTACTTCTTGCTAACAAGTGGTTGGTGCAAGGTGAGTATAGAAATATCGTTCGGTATGAACAAGCAGGAAAACCTTTGATACTAGTTTGTTTCTTTGTAGCATCTGAATATCAGGGCATTACATAAAAATATACTTTCTGTATGGTTCTTAAAATAGGGAAATATTCAGGAATTCCATTTAACTGTTTTTCCAGGCTTTTGAGATATTTCAGAATTTTTTTTTCAAAATTCTGGAAATCTACATAGGATTTGGGTAAACAGAATTTTTGAGAATCCAAGCATCTGCAGTATTGTGTTCCTTTGGTTACTGAGGTCATTTCATCTACTCTTTGTTTGCCTAGGACCTAAACATCATTTAACTTTAGTTTGCAACATTTTGTAACTTTGAGAGGTTGCATGATATGTGCCATCAACCAATGTACAACCTGATCAAATCATAAAGTGCCATACAACAGGGACTATGCCATAATTAGATGTTGGTATATTCTCAATTCACCACCAAGGCCGACTTTACACAAGTATTTCTAGAATGGTAGGGCATCGATTATTGTAGTGTCAATTGTATTTAGCAGTGATATTTTGATAGTCTGGCCTCAATATTATGATAGACAGGTTGAGAGCACTTTCATTGTCAGTGCTTCTGGAGCACAGACATTTGCTGTGATATCATTGGTCTGGAGACTAGTTGGGAAAATTAAAGCATAATATAGGGATCATCTAAAAACATATTGCCATAAGTCAAGTAAACATATGCCAAAACAAAATTTTTACAAAGTTGACTACATGTCATTCATGCTTTGTTTAATCCGTAATGTTCATGACTAAAGCTTTCACAGTTGTTTAGGCTATAAACATAACTTGGCATGGCACAAATATGTCAAAGAAAGCACATGAACACTATGTGATTATGGTTTCAAGATGATTCTTAACTTATGTTTGAAATGGCAAAAAAGCTAGACAATTCAGATACTTATTTTGGCAAATTATTTGGTCATAAGAAGTTTGAAAATGTTAAATGTATAAATTTTTCTCCTTTCCTGGGATTAATGTACATTGAAGAGCATGTGTGAAAAACTGCTTGACAATACTTACCAAAAACCATATTAAAACATGGGAGGATAAGGGTTAGAAAATCATTGGTTGAAACGTTTTTATTTTGAAAAAATTTTAAATTGTTAAATCTATGGATGCTAAAACCTAAATTCTTAAAATTGTAAATATTTTTAAAAAATTTGGAAATTATTCTTGAATTTTTTTCTGCTGAAATTATGGGAACTGTTTGTATGTATATTAGTATACTTTAATGCATTTCTTGCAGCTGAAATGTGGTTAAAAGTCGTGTGTAATATATTCCTTTAATCCCTCACATTTAAAGTTAATTTGAAAATAAGTTTTGGATGATCATCAAAGTTTGAGACTGTTCATACCAGTTTGTAACATTTTCCAGCCAAATCCTGTCTTCTTGGGAAGTATTTAAGCTTAATATATAAACCAGGGGTGCTCAGAGAACAAGCAATCTCTCTTTACCCCACTCCAAGTTTATAGATATTAAAGGCAAAACTTTCACTTGAACAGAAAAAAAAACCCAAGCATGATTGACTTTATGAAGTATGGAAGGACCCGAAACCATTCAGCAAGATGGAGACAAGCGCTGACTTGTTTTCTTACTTGATTGAACCATTGATCTTGCCTTTTAAACGAGATGTTCACTTATTCATGTATTTATACCAGTTTTAAACAGACCATTTCTCTCTTCCTTGGGAGAAAAAGAACAAAAAAACAGTGATCAATCTGATATAATAATAATAATAACAAAAACAAAAAAACTTTTAAACTTAGAAATACAATTTTGGTGTGAGGAAGTCATCCAATTACTCAAACACATCATGTGAAGAATATGCATTAAAGTACATCATGTGCAAGATGTGTATCAAGTACATGACGTATAAGAGGTGTATCAAAGTGCATCATGCATTTTATGAATAATAGAAATAGAATATGTAAACAGACATGACATAAAGTTGTTGGGAGAGTATGTCATGTATGTTTATAAGTAGTCGGCACAAACAATGATGAGTCAGGTTCTCCAAGTCCTCTATAACTACACGTATTATGTTTTGTACATATTTGGTTTGAAAATATTTTGTTTGCGTATCTGAGTGTACCATGAGTTTCAAAACTTCCTGAATAGGCAATTTTTAAAATGTAAACATTGTTTTATGACATGTTTTGTTACACAGCTGTGCATACGGATACGTTTTATTAACGTGTAAATACTTTAATGTATAATATTTTACTGCCATTTATTCTAACCTTTTTAATTTAAATTATTTTTATTTCATAAAAGTTGTGTGAGCACTAGAAGTTAAAACTGTGAGAATATTTCTTGAACTCACTTAATAGATTTAAAGTATAGGCTATTTATATAGTTGTTTGTATTACAGATTGTTCTTTCATGGTTATTAATTTCTTACACAGGCTTTCTTATTCTGTTGTGGACTCATCACATGCTGCTGCTGTTGCTGTTGTTGTAATTGTTGCTGTGGGAAGTGTAAACCAAATGTTCCAGATGAAGCTGATAATATCGATGATCTGGAGGTAAACGTGTAAAATTCACGCGTTGAAAACGGTAGTTTCATCTTAAAACTAGAGAGATTGAAAACAAGTCACAAATCTGGTGATTCTGTGATTTTAAAATTCGGGAACTTTGGGGTAAAGTGACACTGGTTGCAGGCAGTAAGAAATCAAATATCAAGGTTGATTATTCCCAATTCCTTTATGCAGTTTTTCAACAGTCTCAAAGAGAAGTGAAGTGTCATATCCATACTGCCAGTTGATTCATTTGGTGGAAAACAAAGTATGATAATGAGTAGTAGAGCCAAAGCAACAATTGTAAACATCCGTAATAGTTTGAACGTTTCTAAATTATACATATTCCATCATCAGCAAACAGTCCGGCATAGCGAGGTGGTTAGGGCACTTAACTTGTAATCTGAGGGTAACGGATTAGATTCCCCGTCTCACCAAACATGCTCGCCCTTTCAGCCATGGGAGCATTATAATGTTATGGTCAATCCCACTATTTGTTGGTAAAAGAGAAGCTCAAGAGTTGGCAGTGGGTGGTGGTGATGACTTGCTGTTTTCCCTCTAGTCTTTCACTGCTAAATTAGGGACGGCTAGCACAGATAGCTCTCGTGTAGCTTTGCATGAAGTTCGAAAAACAAACAAAGAAATCCATCATCAGCAAATCTACGAGAATAATCAAAAGAACAATCTTCAATATGGTGCATTAACATCATTAAAATACAATAAAATTATGTTAGGAAATAAAAAAAAAAATGTTCATTCAAGGGGAAGAGTGGTTTTTTTCTTTTAAAGTTTGGGTTTTCGTTCATAATATGTAAACTTTCTTTTATCAACAGTTTGTAATCATTACAACCATAAGTGAAAATTTCAAAGTCGTCTATAAAAAAAAAAGGGGGTGGGGGTGTATTGACATTAAGTACAAGTTCTGTTGGCATGGCAATGGGTCATTCTTTAATATTTAGCATTATTTGTTTGAATGTTCTTATGTAGAAATATGAAGACACGAATGAAGATTTAGTAGCAATTACTTAATGTTTTATTTTACAGCTTATTACAACTAAGACATAAATATAGTTAATCATAAAAAATAAATTTGGTTTAAGTGTTTTAGATTAGTGATATAGACATGGAAATACTACGTGATGCAGTGCTTCAATTGGTAAGCTGCTAATGTATACGAAGCAAGTCAAGTTTGCTGACTGCAGAAAAAAAAATATACTAAAACAAAGCATAACACCCTGAAAGTATGCAAAATAAATATAAAAACATTAAACGTGTGTGGAATTAGCTGTATTATAGTTTATGGAATTCTCGTCTAGTCCATGTTGATGTTAAAATGTAAACTTGTTTACTCATTTGAAAGTTTAGTCTAGCTGCTGGAAAATTCTAAAATAAGTGCTTGTGTCAGTAGAAATCTTTGCTTTACTGTGTGCATGTTTGTGTGTTGCTCTTTTTGCCACTGCTCTGCTTTTTTTATCTGTGTTTAGAAGGATTTTGTTGATGGTGCTTCTGGTGGTGGGATGCTGTCTGTTTCAGCAGACAAAAAGGTGAGCCATACAAACTCTAACTGTCTTTTACATTTGATTTTTATTTGTATAATTTTTTTTCATTCTTCTATAATCAATGATCACTTTGGAGGTATAAGTAAGCTCTGTTAGTTTGAAATGAGCTCTTAGAAAAATAACATTATTACGTGAATAATACACGTGTTTTATGATACAAAAGATATACATCATATAAACTAATACACTTGTTAAATAACCACATTATTATTTTTATATGCTACAGTTGTTTATGTATCCATTGAAAATGCTCATGTCTTCAATTACATAAAAAACTCACTAAAATTTACTATAATGTTAAATTTCATCCAGGCCTTCTCTGTTTACCTAGGCTTGTGTGTGTAGCAAACTATGTTTGATAACTATTGAACTTTTCTTACATCTTACTGGAACTGATGAGACTTTAAGTAACATCATATTTCTTCAGCTATTAGCCGAAATAACTGATGTAAGGTTGACAGTCATAGGTATTGGGGTGTTAAAATTCAGTATTTAAAGAGATCTAAATGCATTTTTAAGCAAGTCGAAAATGTCCTAAAACTTGTTACTAAAATGCATCATTTTAAAGGACTAATTAAAGGATAGACTTCTCTTTTTTAATTGGTGGTAATGTGTTACATGAAATGAAGTTAAATTATGACATTGTTTTATAATTTCTATATTATAAACTTGGTGTGGGAGGGATTTGACTTTGACAGCCACACATATGCAAATACATTTACTTGTGATGGGTTTTTAATTGAAAGTAGTGGAAAACAAAACTCAAAACTTTGACTTATGTGTCATGGCCAATATTTGTACTCAGAGCACCATCCATGTTACTTTGCATATAAAAGAGTTTATCTTAACAAAATAAAATGGTAACAAGAAACTTTAAGTTACACAAAATTTCACTTAGTATCAGTTTGTGATATTGTTTGGAAATGATAGGGGGGGGGATGTATGAATTAACAAATAAACCATGTTTGCAAAGGAGAGGAATCTTGTTTCTTTTCTAGACAATTTCCAATTTTTCAGAATAAAGTAGGTGCAACGAGTACATTGGAAGAGTGAAATGCCTAAATGTTTTATTGACTTGATCATATATTATCTGTTAGTAGTGTAATTTTTTTCCTTTACCTTCCTTTTTTTTTATCAGTGTATATGATTGATATTTTAGTGTACTCTGTAAATTAAGAACAGTTTTTTCTTTCACTGCTTTATGAAATCTAAAAGATTAATGTATATGGAATTTAACTAAATGTTGAGGAACAAATCAGTTTGTCTCTTATCTTACAAGTAGCATGTTTATATTCAATAAAATGTTTATTGTCAACAGCAATAAGATAATTAAAACTAAACAGTTCTACTGTTAAAGTTTAACAGGATAAGTGAAATACAAGATTGTTTACAATTTTATTTCTAAAAAAAAGGTATGGGACAGCAGTTAGTATTTTGTTATTTTGAATAAATTGTTTGGTTAATATGTTTATGATTTTATAAAATGAGCAGCAGAATATATTGCAAATTGTATTACTTGTTAATAATTTACAATTTTATATTCTGACAGAGCTAGTGTCGTGTAGGGTATTAACTTTTATGTAAAGTTACCTGTAGGTCACGAAGATGTAATAAATGCTGCAAGTGTATTGAAGCATATAAATTTCTAAAAACTATGGTTTTTATTACAATAGGACGAAAATCTTGACAATGAAGAAGAGGAATGTAAACCTTGTGTAACTCAACCTACAATAAGCCAACAAGCTCCAATCTCAATGCCCGCACCACCACCACCAGCTGACGAAAGAACTAGTCTGAATTCATCGTCACACACTTCTTATAATACTGGTGAGTCAGAGGTTATAAAGCCTGGGGAAAACGAAGATACGTGTTCAGATGGAAAGAAAGATCCAAACTCTTGTGGATGATGTTCCAGTATAATTTAAAACGTGTACGTAAGAAGAAGACTTTATAAAGCAAATTTTTCAAACATCATCACATCTTGATTTATTTTATTTTGGCTATAATGTATGTCTTCCATTTTCTTTCTTGTTTTTATGTAAGTCAAATTCCTTATTACCTTAGTTTGTAAAAAAATGATAGTGTTACGAGTATCCAATCATGTGAGGTTAAATTATGATTTGCTGGTTTGGTATATCCGTAACATGTACGTTTAGTTGTTTAATGTGGTTTTTGAATAAGAAAGCTACATAGAAGTAAAAAGTTACCATCATAAAACTTTTAAAATCAACCATATTATAAACTGGTGTATTATTTCCTGGATGTTAATATGAAGCTCATAGTAAAAACTTGTTCAATTTTTTTTTAGTAATAACATAAATTGCATCAGTTTTTTTTCTGTTCTAAAATAATAACACAAAGTATATTGTAAAACAATGTATTAGTTCCTAGATATTAATATGAAGTCCACTGGAAAAGAATGTATCGGTTCTTGGGTGATAATAGGAAGCTCTTTATAAAACAGTTTTCAGCTTCTGAAAATGAACACCAAGTCTGCTGTAATACAGTGTATTAATTCCTAGATGTTAATATGAAGTCCGCTGTAAAACAGTTTTTTCCAATGACAAAATGAGGCATATTGTAAAAACAGTTTATGGGTTTCTGAGTAGTAACCTGAAACCCATTGTAAAAACAATATATATATATATATATCAATTCTTTAACAATGTTATGAAGCCTGTTATAAAACACCATTTCAGTTCTTCTTGAACGTATAAAGTCCAGTATGTCAAATTTGACAGTGTTGTTAAAGTAGTGTGGAATTATTTTACTTCTGGCCAAATGATTATTACTTTTCCCATAATATTTAACTAGGATATGTATTTTTTGGCCTTTGTAGTTTGCTATAATTATTCAGATATTGAAGAAAATATAGTCATCCTGTAAAGTCAACACTTTATGTGTCTGGTCTTTTACTCACCACAGTAAACCTTTAGTTATAAACATACGTAATATAGTCCATCACCATTTGCTCTTGCCCAGGGTTAGGGTGGAAGTCATAGAAACTGGTATTACTCAGTGACAAGTGGTGAATCAAATGATAGATTGGACTCTATATTTATGCTTAATATATTAGTGAATATGTTATTTCTGTGACTTTTCAGTTTCTTACCAATGGAGACTTGCATTTTAAGGTAGCTTCTCTGCATTCACCTATCTATTTCAGAATAAAACATGTTTAAGGCTCTAGCTTTACACTTAAGTCAAGCACATGAAACACAACAGGGCAACAAAGTGTATAATTGTGAGTTAATGAGGAGCTAGATCAAGAAAGTGAACCATACAAAATTGACAATCTTCAAGTGTATGACTAGATCATCAGATGGCAGCACGGGTCACAATCTTTGTAACCGAACAGGTTTTAAACCTGCTGATTAAAATTGGATGACAGAAACATATTTGAAATTTCCTTAATTTTTGTTTATGCCATTATTTTAATCTTCAAGAGAATAGATTGTTATAATTAGGTTGTCATTGATGATTTATATGTGCCTTCAAAATGATTGAGATTATTTTACAATTGTTGACAGCAGTAAGTCTACGGACTTGCAACACTGCAATCCAGGGTTTTGACTCCCTGTGGTGGACATAGCAGATAGCTCACTGTGGCTTTGCTATAAAATAAACAAACAAACAAATAATATAATTGTTGAGGATTGTGATTATTTTTAAGACAATATTATGTACTAGTTACTTTGTCATAGGATTCATAGTTAAAGTTCTAGAATCTTGGTAATGTGAAATGTATCATTCAATTCAATTTTTTTATGCAGAAACAAAAGTCAGTAAATTACTAGACAGTAAACAGCCATTTTTGCTGTTAACAACAGACTATTATATGAAAATGTTTATAAAGACTTAATTATATTTGTATTATTATTTCCCAAATATAATAATAGTGAAGTGGCAAGTTTTGTCATTCATGTATATATATATATAAAATACATGTATTCAAAGACTAAACATGAACAATAATTACATGTATGTATGAACTTGGTAAGTTGAACATGTAATGTGTGTTAAGAGGTTTGAAAAATATTATATTTAAGGTAAGTGGTCCAATTGCTACTTAGTTTTGGTGATTTGCAGCAACTATGACAGCTGATAATAATGTGAAAATTGTGCCATATACTTAGAAAAATAAGTGAACAGGGCATGCTTTCACATTACCATAAAAATTGAAATTTTGAGTGGTTATGTGTGTATGTTGATTTTTTTTTGTAGTTAAGGAGAATGTTTTATGTCAGTATTTAATTTTGAGACTTGGTAGAATTATATTATTAAAATAATAAAGCAATGCACAAAGATCTTGATTACAGGGCAGCCATTATGTTGTTTAAAGGTTCTTGAGGACTCGTGCCATCACCACTCCAAAATCTTTCCAGTCTGTTGATTTCAATCACATAATGTTCAGTGTCAGAAATTTTGGTACAGAAATGAAAGTCATTCCTCCATTTTAACCAGTCTTCAGTACTTTTACTTTTTTATCATGGAAAATATACTGTCTAATATTTCTTTATAGTAAATTTTATTCACTTTACTAGATTGATAGAGAGTTATAATTTTTTGGGGAAAAAAAAGTTTGAGATAATGTAGAAATCATTTTCCTCATTCAGATAATTTTGGGTGAAGGTAGAAAGTCTGTTGCCCACATTCCATATTGCTTATTATGAGGTGTTTGTAAACATCAAAAGTGAATGTTGAAAACGGAAATAAATTTTAGTTAAATGGATGTTAGTGAAATAATTTTCAAAACAATCAAAGTTATGATGAAAACGTTAAAATAATCACTGTACTGAATCAGGAAAATTTATGGACTCTAGAACGAGTGATGCCGGAGCTGTGTTTCATACTAACCTATAAATGAAATCTTCTCTATGTGAGTCATTGGTGATAATCCTACATTATACATTTTGGAAAGATAGAACTAACAGGTACAGGCATATAAAGATCAACGGAAAGTATATTCTTTGGATCATATAATTCCTTAACATATTAACTTTTCTATCTATACTCTCAGGGTCTGCTGTACAGTGTTATTTCTTTGAACGTGTTTACACTACCTTAAACACTTAAGTTTTATTCAATGAACTTTGCAAAAACGTACAATTCATATATTGGTAGTCAACAGTTTTCTCATATCACCTGGTTTTACCAACTTTTCTACCACCGAATGAGTAGAAGCATGAACTGTAAACAGATGACAATGGCTTGTAAACTGTGCTACACATATTCAGAAAAATAAGTGACATAAAGGACACATGACCAGTAATTGGCATTACATCTAAAAGTTACCACCTCTTCTTAACATTATCCTTTAACTGAACAAAAGTATCAATGTTGATGTGGGAGCATACTCATTGAGTTCTGTGTGTTTGTGTTGCAAATGGCTCTTTAGGTAATTTTAATCTGAGGATACCTGTCATGTTCTATAGATTGTAATTACAATCATTTTCTAATAAAATTGACTGTGATGTGAAAATGTAGCACATTTGTAATAGGTTCTCCTTTCATTTCAAGGTTATTCTTCATTACAGTGAAGAACCAACAAGCTTTTAAAATCTTGTTTAACCAATGACTGCAGCTGCTCTAAACGTGCATGGAATTTTTGCAAAACGTACACTGTGTATAGCACACTGGCATTCAACTTGCGAATCAGCGGTCAATGGGTTAATGTTTTAAACAAAACAAAAATATGCATATTTAATGTACATAAAACAAAAAATTTTGCTTGTGGGGGCATAATATATTATGCAAGTGAAATCCAATATATTGGTGTTTCACTCCGAAATTACTGTAGATTTCATAACATGACCAGTGTTTCAGGTAAACTGATCCTTTTGAATCTTAGAAAAAAGATGGCATATACATTTTATAAAAAAGCAAACGATATAAATCAAAAGGTAGTTTGAATGCAAAATTATTGTGGAAGCCTTTTATATTTTTCTTAATTTGTCATACTTGTTTTTGGTGCCCATTTTGTTAATTTTTGCTTCTGTTTTTCTACTTTATAACTGACGCTTTTTGTTACAAGTAGAAATAGTCACAATGATTGATTGTTTTCTAAACTGATTTAGTAGATTAAAACTGAAAAACTACACTAACACAGTCCTGCGAATTTAAACTTCATAAAAGTTCTTTGGTTTTAATAACGGATTTTCCATAATTCATCTAGGCAGATTTCAAAAATAATATTCATTTTTTCTATCACTTAAGGATTTTTTACAAATCGGGAAGAGAAAAAATAATTACTTAGATCAAATTATTATTTTGTTTACCACAATGAACATATTTTATTATTATGTTTGTTAACTAAAATACAAACAAACTGAAGAAAACGGGAGAACATTTATGTCAAACGAATATGCATCCTCATTCATCCTAATGTTTTTAAATCTGTGTCTTGTAGTTTCAAAACTACATGCTGTGGTCTTTCTTTCAAGTATTATGTTATGACGTTTTGTGAAAAATGGATATCATATTCGGATTCAGCGTACAGGAATTACTGTGGAACATGTAAAAATATCAAGACAATAAAACTTGCACAGTCTTTCTCCTTTTAAGTATAATTTCAGATTTGTTAGGTCGAATAAGGGTTACCCTAAAGGCCAAGTATTCGCTACATCACAATTAACAACTTAATCTTAAGTTTGAATATCAAAAGCTGAAAAACATTGGAAAACAATAAGTCTAGTATTTCTAAAAAAAAAAAAACTACATTAGATTGCAAAACAAAAATATACAATCCAATACATGTGATTTTCACATAAATATTAGGCCTACTAGTTGATAATACTTAAAAACACTATCATATGCCATTTAATTATTCCAATGTTCCCCTACAATGAACAAAATAAATTATTTCCAGATCTGGTTTAGTTTCTTTTTAATGTCACAAACAAACAAAAACACTCCAATCTAGCATATATTTGCCCAAACGGGGCAAATAATATTTTAGCGCTCAACTAGTAGGATAGAATATTTGTATCGTAAGTGATAGCTTGGGTCAAAATGACCGATGTATAATAAGCTTCAAAATGTTATCTTTATAATACGGTGAGGCCAGAAAGTCCCATAAACGTCAAACAAACTATAGCAAGAGAGCAGCAGCAAAACATCCATTCTGTTCAACCCTCAAGAACTGATTGATATAGTACAGAAAATATCAGCTAGATAGCAGCACTATCTAAGTTGGAATATCGACTTGATCGATGCGAGTCGTTCTGACCACACCCTAACAGTGAGTTAATAGTGTTTTGAAATAAATAATACCACTAATCAAAATTTGTATCAGAAAATAGAACTACTCTAGATTACGTGGTGCCTAAGCCGTTATACTGCTCATTCATTGCGTGAAAATCTGGGCAATTGTATCATCATGGGAAAGCTGTTATAATCATAGCTAATCTTAAGCCTATTTTTATAGCCGAAGTAGATTTCTCTAGATTGTTAATGTTTATTAACAGTTATTGATGCAGTGGGTGAAATATTTCTTTTCAATATAAATGATCCAGATTCAATTCTACATCAATACAATGAATGTTATGTGCACTAGGAAGTACGTTAATCGACTGCACATTTTTTTAACAGAAATATATAATAATTTGTTATACTCCTTTTTTAGATTGGAACATTTTAAAATAATCTCAACTAATACTAAAATTTATGCAAAAAATGTTTTAAAATTCATTGCTGAGTAATTCATAATAACTTGAAAATGTATAAGATACTTTTCTTTAGATTTCATTAATATTTGGGGAAGGCTTTAAATTAAAGAAGTCAACAACGTTAAAGCGTATAATTAACAGGGTTTGAGGATACAGATTATTTAACAATAGCACATTATGTAAAGCAAATCTGGAGACATAAAATATAACAATTAGTACTTGTACGCACCTTAATTCCAGATCCAGGCAGCAGTGGATAAGCTCTTTAGTTGCACTTATTTGAAGGGTGTTGCTGTTTCAGAATTTGATTCTTTTAACATGCCCCTCATGAGCTAGTGGGAGACATTTTGGTTTAAAACAAAAATAATTACTCAATCCGGGTTTTCTTAATTTGAACTGAAATTTTTTAGACATTTTTATTGGCTAAAAAGAAGGCATTTCCCGCACTCTTTTAGCGTTGGAGCTGCGATAACTAATTTGAAGTGGTGACTGAAATCCATCAGCGCATCACGAGCTTAACGGCGAAACACAAGAAGCATGGAAGTCTCCAAATGACAATCAGAGGTTTTCAGGAACCATTTGTGCATGTAGCTGTTTTGAAAGTGTTCCTGTCTGATCATCCTACTGCTTACTATCGTGATGCTTCGACCTTCCCTACCAAATCGCAGGTGAAATCGTTCGTATCTCAATTGAAAGCTAAACATAAAAAGGTCAATAGCAGAAGCATTAAAGATTGGCAATTGCTTAATTAATTATGATGAGAATGTGGCTTTATTGAAATATAACGAATTTACTTCCAGCGGGTAGATCTTAGTACTATCTAGTATAGAGACTTGAGGATGTTGTATTTCACTTAAAAATGCATCAATTAACGAACGAAAACTTGTCTCGAAAAGATACGCCCGAAACCAACCTATTTGGGAGTTTCCGAATTGAACTTACTTTTAATATTGAACAAATTGTAGTGTAAAGACACCCATTGGCTCCTGAAGGACGTGTTAAATAACAGAAGACGTTCTATGACATATTCAAGTAGTACATATGCCACTGCACCATTGTTGTCACATGATGATCCTAAACCTAAGCTAATAGTTTAGGTATATTATTTTGAATGTCTATTTCTAACGTGTAATTTAGATAAGAAATGAAATGCAAGTTTTGTTTTTTCAAAATTTCGGGGGTCGTTCCCGGAAATCTGGGATGAATGGTCACTTTGCGAGATAAGATTATAATTGATTATTTTTATCAACCTAGTAAGTTTTTTTGGAAAGTATATTATTTTTCTAGGCAAAAATATACTCAAAATGGTAACAAAATTGAATTACATATGAGCTTTTGGATTCTTTTTCTCTGTACGTTTTTACGCGTCCAGTATATCTATATAAATAACACGCTTGCGTTTGTCTGTTCGGAACTTTATCGTAAATTTCAGAAAGGTCTTTGTCTGAGGAGTCCGGATTGCATATTAGCTTTTCAATTCAGAATCACCTTGCTTGTTTTTGCTTAGTCAAACTTTCAATGTAATGAGTATGGTGCACGACGGCACAATGTCGTCATCACGTGACGATTGGCTTCGATTTTAACTTTAGTTGTTTTTTTTATATGCAAAGTATTTCACACAAGCAACACTTTACCCGTGTGTAATTTCCTTCAAAAAATATCATTACACTAAATAACAATTTACTCTAGACTTCTTCGTATTATTTAGTTCTAAATAATACACGTTTACTTTCTTAGTATATTCTAGCTAAGTTTA